TGACATTCATCTGTCTGTAAAGCTCTAGAGCTTTCTGAAGCACATTGTAGCTCGTTTCAGAGACGACGCTGCATGTTCGGTGACACTCGCAGCAGTAAATGAGCTTTATACCAACGCACGTAAGGCAATCTGCCATCACCTGGGCATCACCCTTGAAGGCTGCAATTACGGCATGGTAGATGTACTCGAAGTCCTGCCTCTTCATGACTTTGGCCAGGAAAACCACCGCGTTGTTAAGAACTTGCACGCAGCTTGTCGAAAGGGATGATCCACTTTGCAGCGCCCAAACGATTGCTTGAATAATGTGCTGCTCCTCTCTCCAGTAACGACATATTGTTTCTTTTAAGACATCTTTACACAAGAAATTCCGATGAAGCTCCGAGACAAGTCCCAAGTAGTGCTGAACAAATCTCTCGCGCGCTTCATTGTAAAAAACGCTCAAAGTTTCGTCATCCTTTGCTTTTTCCTCACAGCAGAGTTGAATTACTCGGTGCACAAAATACTCGTTTGTCTTCACGTCTCTATGAACAAGTGACTTTTTAACCAGCTTAAGTAAAATATCGTCTTGAATCAAGAGATCAGCTTGTTGACCGTCAAAAACGATAGAGACTTGCTCGCGATGGAAAGCTGCTGGGAACACAGCTAACGAGATCAGTGCCTTTTCCAGCTGTGGGCCAAGCTGCTGCAGGCAATCATAGAGAAACGTCTTCATTTGCAAATCGGGAGACAACGCCTCTTTATTAGCCAGTTCCAACGGGGCGAAGTGTCTTCTTAAAACCTCTATCAGAGCTTGTGGGCCCCCAACATTTTCAATATATGCTGCAGCTGCGTGTAGTATCAAGGGAACGTTCAAACAAAGATTTGCAATTGTTTTGGCTTCCTCGTCTCCTAGTTGCAACCCAGTGTTATCTTCAACTTTTGCTTGAAGGAGTTTAGCGGCAGCCACGGTTTCCAAGGAGAGGAGTTTGACCAATTTGACAGGGACTTGACAGGAGGTTGAACAAATTTCACGTGACGTGATGACACATTTCACTTGTACAGCGTATGAAGTCAACTCTTTCACAAATCTATTGAATTTGTTCATTTCTTCACGGATCGCAAGCAGATCTTCAGCGTTATCAAGTATGAGGATGGTTCTTGTGGTTAGAGACCTCAAATGGCGCAATGCAAGCTCGGATTGTTTGCTTGTTAAACTCGGACACATGCTTACTCTTAGGGACATCAAAATATTTTCACACATTTTCCAGACGCTTCTGATTTCTCGCAAGCAAAGGAAAATAACTTGAAATTTTTTTTCAGCCATCGCGTGACCAATTTTCTGGGCCAGACACGATTTGCCAAAACCTGGTAAACCAGTTATGACAACAAGACGTTTTCCGTTGCTCTCACTGAGAGTATCGACAATCTCATTTAAGTGTTCATCTCTTCCGTAAAAATGAACTGGTTTGCATGGCAGAGTTCCTGCAAAACATGGCCGCTCACCAAAGATCTGTGTTCCTGAAATACAACAAGAAAAAATATCATGCATTCGCCTTCGGATAAGCGATAGCAAATAATTTCAGAATTCTTCAATTCTCAGTCTATCGTAGTAGGCTTCCGCTACCAATCTAGAAACATTCGGTAACAGTTGTGAGAGTGACCTGCCCTGATTTAGGCTTAGCTACCTAGGGGACAATACAACCGTAAATGTATTATTGCGGGCGACCAAAGGACTTCGCACAAGTCTTAATCTTCAGGTTGCTCTCATGCAGGTGCGCACGTATGTAGCCAGGATGGCGTTTAGAGTTTCACAAATGCGCTTGGGCAAAGCACAGTGTTAGAGCAATAGTGTCCTTCGATCGATCTCGCCCACACTCGCTATAAATCTTTAGTTATAACCACTGATGTATAAACAATAAAATGGAAACTCGAAAATTGGTGCTTTCATCAGTGGGGAAATTGACTTTGGTAAAGTCTGCATGGATAGGTATGGTCGTTTTTGAGAGATGTTAAAACGTGGAGGCTCCACCTTGTTATACGCCCATTTACATGTATGCTGTTGATTTAAGTCCACAAAACTCTCCTTGAATTGAACGTTTGCAAAACTGGCATTCACCAATGACTTATCCCGTTTGATTTATAGCACTTACAGAATAAGGTATACATATAAAAGAGTGTATTCATTGACATACCCTGCTAGCAAAGTCGCTTCGATCTTTCCTAGAAAAGATCGAAGGAGACTCTGTTCGCAGGGTATAATTGACATCAACCAAACAACCAAAATTTCTCGGATGCATAGATAACCAAATTTTCCTACTCATGTTGCTGCCCTGCGTGAGCGAAGCTCCGCTATTTAACAATTATTCCTCGAGCCCGAATGGGCTCTGAGTCAATAGCCCATGAGGCCGAAAGCCGAATGGGCTATCATCTTAGAGGCCATGAGGGCGAGAGGAGTAATTGTTTCAGTAAAATTCAACTAGTTGGTAAAAAATATCGAGACAAAACAACTTTAGCTAGTTAAAGCTAGACTTAAGCCATTGTTTTGCTTGTCAAAGCTGGCGCTTTTCGCTACTAGTGGGCTATAACATATAGCCTAGTAGTGGCTCAGCCAATCAGAACGCAGCGTTGATAATAGTCCACTAGTTGGATTTTACGGATATTTCAGTAGCTTTTGTAATGGTCCATCATCTCGTTCTCAGACGCTGCGATCCTATTGGTCAGCACCAAGCATGACTCACTTCATACGTTGGCGACATGACAGCGACGAGAACGGCAATCTCGCATCCAGAGTCCTCTCTGATCCTCTCTGGGTACGAGTTGGCGAGAAAGGAAATAATAGGGAGCTTAAGCAACGACGACGCGGACGGCAACAAAAACGGCAAAAAAGCAATAGGTTTGATTAGCAAAACAACAACTTTGCACGTGCATCACGCTTTTTTTGTACATTTCTTTGCCGTCATTGCCCGACTACAACGTGAAAGTGCCTGAATTCACGTTTCGTCGAGGACGGGAACACAAGACAACAACTTTCTTTTCTTTTCCTGAACTTTGATACAATCCTTTTAAAGTTCAACTCCAAAAACATTTGCCAACATTTGACGAAGTAAACGAGATGGAATAAGCGCGATAAAGTTTGAAGCGGTGCGAATTCACTTTTTAAGTGACGTTTTTGTAGCCGTCGCCGTCGTTGTGGCTTAAGCTCCCTAATACCTTTGCACGTGCATCACGCTTTTTTGTTCATTTCTTTGCCGTCGTTGCCTGACTACGACGTGAAACTTCCTATTTTCACGTGTTCTGGAGGATGTTTACGGCACGAAAAAGATATTGTTTTTCTTTTTCTGAAGTCGTTTAGAATGCAACTCCAGACAAATGTGAAAAAGTCCCCTACTAGAACATTTTATAACAAATATTGAACGAGATGGAACAAGAGCGAAGACGTTTAGCGGGGCTCGAAGTCATTTTTGGAGTACCTAGTGGGAAAGCCTGAAATAAGGGAATCACGCTGACAAATTTGGACGTTTGAAAGTAAGTCTGTGATTCAATAGGTTTGTATTTGCAACAAACAATCAAATCTATCACGCAAGACTGACTCGACTGACATGAACTTCCGCTTATTAGCCCGCCTGAGGGAAAATTCTCAAGGTTGTAGTAACTGCTTTAGTTATAGACATATAGAATAGCTTAGTCTTACACACTTTCAGTTATACAACTGTGCCGAAGTAATAATGAAAGACTTCTACACCTGGTTCTTTTTTAAATTAAACTTAGTTCAGTATTATTAAAAATCAAAATACTATCAGAATAACTTTTAATTAAAGACTAGGCGGCAAGCGACCATGCTTCGAGTTCTCAAAAATTTGCATTTCGAAACACGCAATACTACTGTGAGATGCATCAAGAAGTAGAAGGTGGATTTAATTACTTTTTGAAGGAAGGTTGAAGGCTAATATTGGGCTCAGAACATGCTATTTAAGCTTACCTTCTGCTTCCGTTTGTTGAACCAGAGGCAACAAGTCTAATCGCCCCGCGGATTCCAACAATTTAGCAAGACGATTAACGTTGGTCGGGGAAAGCAAGTCATTCTCCATCATAAGAGAGAAAAGCTCAAACGGTTTCGTTATATTTTGAAGTTTCCCCTTAGGAATGTAGCCTTGGACGCAAAACTTCATTTTTTCAAGGTCGTCGATAGTCAGTTGGTTCGAGATGGACATGAGATTCATCTTACTAGTAAACGCAGCCAACGATGTTGATAGAGACATGTCCATCGTCGATTGGGTTTGCAACGTTATGTATTCTTGAGTAGCTAGAATCCAAGGGATACAAATTCGATGCCCTGTAGGCTACCAAAAATCCCACACGGAAGTGCAATAGCGAAAGCTACGCTTTATATGGCCGACTGATACCTCTAACTGTCGTGGTGACGTCAAGTGTGACATCAGCTAAAATATGATCTTTGGACCTGATTTATGCAGACCACGAATAAAAAATTATGTGCCCTCATGATCACAAAGACCTCAAAATTGTCCCTGCAAGGCTGCAACACAAAACAGGAAAAGTTTTTGAAGCATCAACGATAGAATCAGTAGTCTATGACTCTTAATTTACAGCCATATTAGGAAAGAAGACGAAGAGATTTTCTGAAGCCCTTTTCACTGCGGTCTGGGCTTCCCGTGCAGTTTCAGACTTATTTCCAGCGGCACCACCATTCTTCTTTTAGCGGTTGCTTTCCTCTGAAGCTCTTCTTTTGCTTTAAATTGTCACAAGTTTGGATAAGCGAAATCCGTGATAAGAAAGGACAATTAATTACATACAAAAAACGCAAATACAGTTTTCGCTAGGGAGGGAAGGGAGAGTTGAGTACTAATCACGTGACTCAAGAAAGCGAATTTTATCTGCTCATGCGCGTTTTGTTGTCAACTCACGTACTTCATCAGTCGGCGCGAAGAACAAGATGAATGCAGTAAGATGGCGATGGCAATTTTCACTTCCCGGCCTAATTCTCATCCTTTTGAAGAGAGGAGGGTGCCTTTTACGGAACGAGTGAAAATAGGACGCTCAGTAGCCAAGAGCAGACCCGCTTCAAATAATTGTATCTTTGACTGTAAAGTGTTGTCGCGAAACCATGCTATCTTGTGGTATGAGGATGGGAAGGTGAGTGTATTTTTGCCACTCATTCAACAGTTGATGTTTACGTCTTGAAGCTGTGTGCGTTCTTTGATGAATTCGTTAATGTATAAGGATATTAATGGATGCCTCTCAAAATGTAAATATACAAGTGTTCAACCTGGATTCGTTGCGAAAGTTGCTAGCTACATACTGTAATAATAAAGCGAATTCTGGTTTCTCCAACCGCCATTCGCGTAACGTTTCATTTGACAGTGTTTGAACCGCAGGTGTCCAGTAAGCAAATTGTGTCAGAAATGCCCATTTCCCTTTAGGCCAGGTTTGCATGTAAGGTCGCAAATTAATGTTCAATTATTCCGGTAAATGTCGCGTGAACTCTTGCGCCGGAAACTCATCTTGTGGTAAAGTAATTTTCTCACTTGTCACATATGACTTGCTTTGCCCTTTACTTTGATAATATATTGATCTTTAATCTTGTTCCACTAAAGATATCCGTTACAATTTTTGTTTTATTTAACGTACACTGATGTTTTTTTCCTGAGTTTGAGTTGAGATGAAATCAGCCCCATAGTTCAAAATAAGTTTGATCCGATCTGACAGGCCCCAAGATTTAACGATTTGTGTGCAATATTATGCAAGCTATGCCTTTGTGTTTTGGAATTCGCAATGTAATAAACTATATTCATTTGTTAAGAACATGCCTTCAATATATAAATTTCCTTTATAAAAGTAACTTGTTAGTTGTTTTTGGATATTCTTTCAGTTTCGTCAGGGGCTAACCAGGATTTAAATTTCCCCAATCATAGTATAAAATTTCCCTTATTTGGCAGAATTCCTCTATTCCTTCCTACATATGATGTCTGGGCCGCAGACAGAAATGCTGTTGTTAATTAAAAGTAAATAAATTTTATTTGTTCTATGATCTGGTGACAGATTTTTATGTACATATATGGGATTGGTATTTATTGATTACACGATTAATTATCCTGGTCAAATATGTAAACAGTGGTGAATTTTATTAATGTACAGACTTGGATCAAAGATAGCCTTTTCCCACACTCCTGTTATCAAATAAGTGAAAGAATCAGTCCTAAAGATAATAACAACTCTTTGTTGAACGAGATGTGAGCCTTTCAAACTACCTCTGTGTATAATCCTAATTTTTCGAACCTTTTTGGGTAGGGAAGTTGACTCAAATTATCAGGAGGTTTGAAAAACTTTTGGAAAAAATTGCATTATTATTATTACATTGTATTGATAGTATTATTATCATTATTGTTGTTACAGCTTGTGATTTCAGGGTGCAAAGAAAGTCGGTTTTATGGCTTGCCATCCGGGCAATTTGTTGCTAGCATGTACTAACCCAAGAGTCTTTTAAGTAGCCCAAAAAATTTTTGATGAACATCATTAATTACAGTTCTTCTGTAACTTGAATTTCCCAAGAACCTTCACTTGCCCTTCGGGCAGGTTAAGAACAGGATTCTCTAGCCCGATTGCATTATCCACTAGCCCTGGGCTATCATACACAACTTTCTTTGTATACCGGATTCCGTCCTCTAACATTTTGAATGGAGAGTTGCTAAAGTTGTTTTTGTTGTTCTTAGACTTTAATCTGAATGATCTGTGAACTGACAAGTCTAATGCTGTTTTTTTCTTTCTGTAGTTCTTCTTGCAGGACACAAAAAGCAGTAATGGCACTTTTGTAAACAATGTGCGTCTCAGTAAAGGATCAGAGGAGAGTGAGCCTAAAGAACTCAAATCTGGTGATATTGTACAGTTTGGAGTAGATGTTGTGGAAAACTCAAAAAAGGGTTAGTAATAGAGTTCTAATGTGATGATGTCAAAAATTAAATTTTTAAATTAATTATGGGATTTGTTGGGATATTTTGAAAGAACAACATCTGAAAGGCCTACTTGTCAAAAACTAGCTTTGTTGGGCAAATTGTCTTGGAGATACTAGTCCCATTTTGCCCTTATTACTCCATACAAATCCTTCTAAATTTGACTCGGTTACTAATGTTATGAACTGAGTCAAATTTAGAAGGATTTTTATGGAGTCATCAGAGCATAACTGGGCTTATATCTCAAAGACAATTTGCCCTGGAATGCTAGTTTTTGGCAAGTAGGTCTTTTGGATCTTGTTTTTTCATAATACCCTGAAAAATCCTGTAATTTCACAAATTTAATTTTTTATGATGTCACACTTGAGGAATCTTATAGCCCTGGTCCAGATGTTTAAAAGTTGGATGGTGCTATCCACTGGATGCTTCATTATCCACTGCATAATGCAGTTGGATTTCCTAATTCTTAACTATGGGAAAGCGATTTATCCTGTTGATAGTGCTATCCAACTTCTAAACAACTTGGCCTCGTTAAGAATCAAATTTTGAGCACGCTTGCCAACTGCGCAACAGGATTTTTCAAGCACTAGAAAATTCAGCGATGTGAGTTTGATTTTTACACTCTTCATTATCAACTTCTCATTTCCTTATATAATTTTCTTTTTTGGGCCATGAGGGAAACTGTTTCCAACCAAGGAAACTTGCATCATTAAAGTTGTGTGTTATCTCTGCTCTGCACCCAGTATTTCCAAATTTTAGTACCACTATCAAATGAAAAGCATCAGCTGCAATTATAGCAGCTGTATTAGCAGGGCTCGAAATAATTTCCAGAGAGTCTGCGAATACGATGACTGGCCAAATTCATTTTAGTGAAAAATCTTTGTTTCATTTTTATGGGGCTTGTACCCCAATGTTTCATGGCTATTTTCATTGCTGTTCCCCTCTCAGTACATATTGTAACAATGCTCGTAAACTCATTCACCCACTAACTTTGAAGAAAAGTAAGAAACTGCTTGCTGTTCTAGGTGTTGTAAGATGAAATGGTACATGTACAATGAGACTAGACTGGTCTCATTGTACTAAGGAAATGTTAGTGCCATGTTTCATTTGGAGTTGCTTTCCAAAATGTTTTGGCCTGGCCTGTTATCAGTAGAATAGTTTATTGCAAGTATGTTAAGAGGTTCTATGCAGATTGTATTGTTTTTTTTCAGTAATAATCATAATAATAATAATAATAATAATCGCTGTCTGCATAGGGCAAGCTCCCTTTTTTGTCTTGAAAGCATCTGACAACTCGATTTGCATGGAAGTTAGTTTGGAAAATGAAAGTTTTTTTTCGCTGTTTTAGCAGTTCCAAGTCCCTGCCACGTAGCACCCTAAGCAGGGAAGTAAAATGGCGGCCAAAATTTTATTCAAGAATTTTGTAAACGCTAAGAAAGTGAAAGTCTATGATTCTTTCTGAAAACACTTAACAAAGGAATGGCGGTACACTTGTTAGTTTCTTAGCACTATTGAAATTGCGACCTCTTGGTTAGAATTTCATGACTGTTGTGTGTGAGGTTGGCCATGAGTGCGAGTTGCCTGTGAACAGGCTCTCGATTTGGAGAAAGGGTGAAAAAAATTGCTCCCCTTGTCGCCTGCAATTAAAAATTTACTAATTTGCTCTAGTACCTTTTAACATTAAAAATGATTATCAGCCACACCAAGGCTGTGCTCTAAGGAAAATTGAAGGAAGCTCAGTGCTCTGAAACTGTAAAATCAAGGGTGCCCAGCTTATGATATGTATGAAAAATCTGAGATTTTCTAGTCGCCCAAGGGCAAAAGTTAGGCGCCAGGGGCCACCCGGCTCTGCCGGAGCATGGCCCTGCACATGCTACATATGCAGTACATTCAAAGTGGCTCATCTTGTTTTTCTCTTAGTTGATAAAACTCCTGCATCAATTTATCTTTTTAATTTTAGTTACCCATGGCTGTATTGTTGCCACTGTCACCCTGTTTCTTCCGGATGGAAAAGAAGCCACAAAGTAAGTGATTTCCTCTAAAATAGCTTGCTCAGTGCATTATGCCAAAGAAAAAAAAAGAAATATAACTTTGAAAAACGAAAAATAATTTACTGTTGTTGTTTTTTCAGAGGGGGAGTCCCAAGAAGCTTGTTTGCTTTGGTATGTCATTTTTGATAAAAAATAATAGTATAATAATAACATAATACATTATTGAAATTGAAAAAAAAGTGGAAAATTCCTGAAAGCATTAAT